CCAGCCAGCTAAAGATTACTAAGTTATTTTCAAAATATTTTGGTGGCTGTCATCCTGTGTGACATCACAAATGGGAGGGAACCAATCAGACGTCCATGGGTTTATAAGGAAGGGGAGCACTAGAACTCCTATTGCTTGTAATGACTGCCTCAAGTAGCTCTCTACAGTCACTGGGTTGCCACACGGATTTTAAATGAGCATATGCAATTACAAGATGAAGTTCCATAAATCGCAGAATTTATCATATTAAGAGAAGGAGTCACCAAGATTTAAAAAAGGATGAGTTATTTATCAGAGATGATGGGGCTAGATCTCCCAGTTATTGCTTTTCCATCTGGGAGTCAACTGCTCCTGGACTTTTAAGTAATATTAGTAACTACAAATGACTTTGAATGTATTTGGATTACTGGAAATGCCTGTGAGCTATCTCTGAGGCTATTCAGAAATTTCAGCTAGTGCAAAAAGCAGCTGGCTGCCATTAAGGGATGGTCTGCATATGGAGTATGCTGTCGGCTGTTTTTTCCAGGTTCAGTTTAAGGTGTTGATGTGTAAAGGTTCTATCCATGCTACCAGAGAGCACTCTCTCCCTGTGCACCATTTCAGCAGTAAGTGCAATTATGGTAAATGGATTTTGCACAGTAGGAAGTTCATTTTCAGTTGACTTGTCAGTTTTTCATCTCTGATATACATTTAATAGTGTAACTACACCTGCTGACTATTGGTGGGTCCCTATATAAAAATTAAACACAATCTGGCCTCTGTGGTGACGGTAGACTAGGAGATGGGTTATAAATCCCAATAGATCTTGGCATAAGGTGATCACTAGCTGGCATTAGGAAAAGGTTTCCTCCCACCATATACTTTGGTCTGGTCCAGCATGCTGGTTCCCTCTATTCTAACTACTACATGAGTTTGACTAGCTGTCACTTTTTACTTTACTGTTGTCAGTTCCCTAGAGCAGCAGTTCTCAAACTTCATTGCATCATGACCCCCTTCTGACAACAAAAATTGCTACATGGCCCAGGAGGGGGGACAAAAGCCTGAGCCCACCTGAGCCCCATCACCCTGGGTGGGGTTGGAGGGGCAAAGCCGAAGCCCAAGGGCTTCAGCCTCAGACAGGTGGCCTGTAACCTGAGCCCTGACATTCAGAGCTGAAGCCCTCAGGCTTTGGCTTCAGCCCTGGGCGGTAGGGCTCAGGCTGCGGCCCTGGGCCCTAGCAAGTCTAAGCCAGCCTCGGCAACCCCATTAAAATGGGGTTGCGTCCCACAGTTTGAGAACTCCTGCCCTAGGGTAAACTCACTTTATGGACCCAAACCTCCCACTCTCTCTACCACCTATATGCAAAATTAGCAACCTTCTCTTTTGGTACGGCGATTCTAGTCCCTTGCTGATTTGGGGGCAAGAGGAAGGAAGAAAGGAAGGGAACCAACATTTCTGTTTTGCATTCTAGTTCTAAGCCTTATGGGAGGAAGCTAGGACATGCAATATATACAGACACTAAAGGGAGCTTCACAAAACAACCAGAAGGGGAAGAGAGAATAACAAGACGGTGGAGATTTGCATGTACAGAGTTTGTTTGCACAAAAATTCAATTAATTGTACTTTTGTCAAACTACATTTTCTGTGGGGGGGAGGGGAGAGGGTTAGCACATGCTGTGTTTGACAGTGAGAAGAAAACAACCACATAAAATGACACTTTATATATATGTGTGTGTACACACACACACACACACACACAAATCCCCTACCATACAGCCTTAGCTATGCTGGCTGTCACTCCACATACAGGGCTGTGATGGTCCCCAATTCCTCCCCTACCCATCCTTATTGATGTTCCTTCCCAGAGGACAACTAGTCTGAGGTGATTCCTGTCACATGACGCGTGGAGGTTGGAGGTTGCCAGCTTACAAGAAGCTCTGTAATGTGCACAGCAGTCTCTCAGGTGAAGTAGAAACCTGGGGCCTGGCTCACTGATTTCCTGCTGTGCTTGTTTAGCACCCCTCGGCAAAGCTAAGAATCACTGAAACTGTAAACAATAGTGGCATCTGTCCAAAAGTAGAAACTGCCCAAGGAGAGATGTTGCCTTAATCTAGACATCAATCTGTAACAGAAATAGTAATTGTAACCATAGACTAGGGTAGAGGGATATATATCAGATAACTTCTAGTTCCTCCCACTTACTGTATAGAGCAAATTTCAGAGGAACTCAACTATTAAACCTCACAAGACATCAGAGCAGTAAGTTGTATACTTGTTTTACAGATGGTTGAACTGAGCCATCTTCCAAAGGTCATCCAGCAGGTTAGTGGGAATAAGACCCAGGAATCCCAACCTCCTGCTCTGCCCCTCAGTTCATCAACCTCACTTCAACCTGTAAAAACAAATAAATGCACGTCAGTCAGACCTCATAATAGATTAGGGAAAAACATTCCAAGTAGACATTAAATACAGACACCACCCTAGCAAACAGTGCCACCGAGCCTCTGAATTATGAGAGCTGATAGGAAAACGAAATGTTAAGTGCAGGTATTCTGATGAATACGGTAGTTACAGTAATGTTAGCAGTAAGGGGAATGCATGAGGAGTGTTGCTATCCCTTTCTCTGTGCAGAGGTTTGTCTTTATTTTTCTAGCTCTTTCATACTCAGCACTAAGTATCAAATTCTGTCAGTGTCTTAAGGTTAGAGCCTGTTTCTTTTTTCTTCTTTTTTTTTATTAACTGGTAAAGAAATATGCACTGTACTGGTCAGTATGGGGATTATATATTGAGAAGGAATAAAATGTAACATCTTCCTCTCCAGAGTTTGGATAATTGGCATTTACTTAGACCAAAGACAGTAGACTGGTCTAAACACTTGGAAATCCAAGGTAACAGTAAAATATTGTGATCCATTGGTAAGCCTCTCAGTTGACAATAGTAAATCCTCCATTACTCAGACTGTGATCTCCTAATACAACTCAGCTTTAATTTTGGCTGACAATTTCTCTGCAGACACTCCTTCCCAGAACCCATGTTACAAGGAGGTTGAATTGTCTAAGAAGCAAGAAGGCCCATCATCTCTTCTCTTTTGTTCCCATCACTGGCCCCTTAACCTTGACAAGGGCCTCCTAAAAACTAAAATCTCATTCTCAAAAAGCTGAGCTTTGCTCCCTAATCATTTTGCTGCCTAGATACTACTGCTGCTTGATTGAATTCTAAAATGTGTTATAAAAGGGGTCAGCCTGCTAACAGTTATCTGGAAAAAGAAACAAAAAACTCAATGATTCTTTTTCATTTCTCATATTTTGACCAGTTCTACTCTATAGATGAGTCTGTACCTTCAACCCTCAGCACATTTCGTCTCTCACCTGTACAAAATACAGAATCTTCAAGATCCTTCCCTCCGTTTTGCCCCCACTTATGGCCAGAGCTCAAAGCTAATGAAGGGAGGCTCTATCCATGACCAGTGGACTGTGCTAGCAATAATTGTTTGGGATCAGTAGTGAGACAAACTAATTTTGAGCCTCTCTAAAAGTCATCAGTTCAAAAGTTTCACCTTGTTATTGGGTTCCAATGGTGTCAGAGAGGTATTTAAGCAAAGGGCAGCAGAAAAATAATCTACTGCAATAAGCCTCATCACTGTGGTTTCCTTTGGCAATGAATGCTATGTTAGTGCAATGGATGCCGTGGCTAAGAGTAAATATAGTATCTTTTGCAGAGGGAGCTAGGTATATGGATTGGAAACTTACTGCTGATGCAAGAAAGGTATAAACTCTTGCAGTACGGACAGTACGAACTGCAAGAGATCTGGGTTCAATTCCCAGATGTCAGACTTCTCAGAAGACCTTGGGCAAATCACTTACTAGAACCCTCCAGTTATTGAGCACCTGCAGTTCCCACCGACATTAAATACAGTTGTGGGGAGCCAGAAACACTGAAAAGCAGCTCCTTAGTGCCTCTGTTTCCCTCCCTGTAACTTAAGTATAATTTCCTTTGTCAAAAGGAATTATTGGATAACATCACTGCTTGTGAGGCACTAAGATGCCAAGGCGATATAAAGCCAGAGGGAAAAAACTTGACCCATAACCCTTCCCACAGAGACCATTGCAGCACAACGATTAGTAACAACCTAACCAGGCCATTGTTCAATAGAGGGTAAGCTCAAAGGAGAATTGGGACACAGTGTCCAAAAATCTTGTGTATGGAAGTATATTTAATATACAGAAGTATGCCTGTGCTATGCTGAAATGCAAATCTGCCTTATTGTGGTTCTAATCCCCACGTATGACCCACTAATAAAAAGGGTTTTTTAATACTTACCATCTGTGTTCAAGCTTGTTTCCCACACTGAAAGCTTGCCTGGTTATAGTTGTGTAGGCATCACAGAGAATATACCTTTCAACTGAAAAGGCTTGATAATCCCTGAGGGACTTTAAACTGCAAGCTGCAGTTCTCTCACTCTGTGCGCAGTAGAGTCAGTTGCCTTACGTATGTAATATCTTCTCATTTCATGTTTGTCATGCAGAGAAGTAAAATCTAAACTTCCATCTGATGGTAACTGTAACTCACTGACAATAGGATTTCCAGATGGGTAGCTGTAATGCATTTTTTCATAATATATTAATACACAGTCTCCCACCTGTTAAGAATAATGAAAGATTTACCATTAAAAAGATCTAATGGTTCCATTCATGGGTGCTTTGAAGTAATACATCTTGGAAGACAGTTGACCTTACCATCACCATTTTCTACACATCTCCCTTGTTATTTAGTTGGCATTTGTAACACTCTTGTCCACCACCACTCAGCTGTTTACATTTATACTGTCCTTCCCCTACAGGACTAGATCTGGCAGGCTCCCCCAGTAGAAATAAGGGTATATTGTATTGGTGCAAGATATGTAACAGTCATAACGGGCAACTTTAGAACTGGCTATAATGCAGTGTGAACAATTGTCAAGTTTATTAGAATATGAGTAAAGAGCTTGCTTAAAAGCAACACAAGACGTCTACGGACTCAGATGTTCTATGTGGGAATGGATATCTGGAGAAATGCTGCAGCTTGGGGCAGGCTCATTTTCCAAGCTAGTGGAGGCCATAAAATAGAAAACTGTTGTGCCCCCTTGTAAAAACTGACCGACATCAACAGCAATACTTGTGTCATACTGGGAGGTTCCAATAGGTGATCAGAGCAAATGACAACCACACTGAGAGGCCTGAAGGTTTGGCAAGACAAGGAAGGTAACACAGATGGTCAGTCATTACAGCATACGCACAAGGCTGGGTAAGGAAGTGCAAAACAACTGTATCAATGCCCACTCTCATATGCTGCGGCAGGAGTTGTGAAATCCATTGCTACGGCTATGCAAGTGCAACATGAAATGTATCAAGTTTTGCAGGCATACATCATAGCCTCCATCCCATAAAACCTTTGATCAATATTTTTGGACTCTAAGCAAAAAGGTCAGTCTGCTTTTTGTTTTTTTAAGTTTCTCTCTCCAATTTAGTTAGTGCAGAGCTTCAAAATGATAAGGCTTTACTTGTACCACGAAATAATTCCAACTTTGATTTTTCTTTGACTTTAGAATGATAAGAGATCAAAGGTTTTGCTTACTGCATTGCAGGAGATATTGTATAAGTCTTGCTTACAAAATAGCTCTGGTTTCCATGAAAAAGTTTATTTCCTTCCCCCAACCACTGATGAGCAAATGACAACCGTACAGAATAAAAGCTCAATTCCTTAGTTCTGCTCACATTCGTTCAACATTTGTGCTAATCAATTATCTTATTTCATGCAATAAGAAAAGAATGAGATTCCTGTTATGCAGCCATAATCAGTTACAGTATGAAGCTCTGTCGGTGGAACATTTCTGATTTTGAAAACTAATCATGTGCTTTGCCATTACATTTCTCTTGTAATACACTGGGATTTTACCCAACTTTTTTTTTGTGGGGGGGAGTAAACACATTGATGGCACATTCTAGCCCTAGTTACCACATTCTTACACTGCAGATGCCAGCCTAATTGTAATGTAAGGAACATATTTACGCATGGAGCCAGACCGTGTTTTTCTAGTTTATTAGAACATTGAAGTATAAGTGAATGTTCTCTGCAGAGAGAGACTAAAGGGCATGGTTGCATGTGAAGTGGATGTTTGGAGGTGATATAACACAGTCTTGTCTTCACAAGAAGGGCTCAATATTGATCTCTAGGGCAGAGCATGGCATAGTGAGCTCAAATTTGGTGATAACATCAGGGTGAAGGACTCCAAGCTTCCCAATACTTTGACCTTTGGCAAGGATCTCAGCACAGCGGCCAGGGAAGAAAGCAGAGTCTGAAAAGAAAGTGAGAGAAAAATCAATATTTCTTCAGGCTAAAAAAGTTAATAGACATTTAACAGTGAGAACAAAGCTTTTATTATTCAACCGTTTTCTCTGCTAAGAATGGGCTCTCTCACTTTCTAGCATTAATAGATGTGCAATGATTGACAAAACAAGGAAACACTTCAAGTTAAAAATAAAATGTGGAGCCCTAACATGTGGACATTTTACCCCACTCTAAAGTTGTTTTGACAAGCATTTTTCCTATAATAGAAATCAGCGCAGATGAGTAAAGTCAGCAGAAACACACTGAAGTTAACAAGAAATTTAGCATTCTTCAAGTATTATCCAAAACCCAAAGGTTTCCCACCTTATTATGTTTAGGAAAATAAAGCTTGCTGTCATCTAAGGGGTGAGCAGGAATGTCACGCTGGATTACATGCCACATTACTAGTAACATGACCTACATTCCTTATCTGGAGAAGAGCTTTTAAGCAGTTTCATGTATACTGTAAAACCACAGCAATGACTGACTCAAAGGAAGCCTGAGATCTTCCTCAATATATCTCAAATCAAGCACCAAGTTTTTAAATGTTATTTGGTAGTTTTTAAAAAAAATTAATTGTAACAGTAATAGAGGAAGTCAGCAAAGGAAGAAACATGAGGATTTCTCACTGGGAGCCCTTACTGTCTGGGAACTTATACACCGACATTATGGTCTTGTCTACATAGGAAAGTTATACCACTATAAGCTAAATAGTGAATTTAAACCAATACAGTTACACAGGTCTATCCCCCCACATTATAAAAGTGGCTTTTGTGTTGGATTAGCTCATGTCACTTTGGAAGGGTTTTAAGCTACATTGAAAAGAGTCACTCTTATACTTGGAAATAGTATACACATGGGGAGTTGTGTAGCTATAACTACACTGGTTTACAATATCTATATAATTATACCAATATAATTGGTAAAAAACTTTCCTGTGTGCACAAGCCTTAAATGCCACAGATGCAGAAAGTTCTACTCTGCTAACAAATTTCTGAAACAGTTGATAAAAATATTTCCTTCTATCTTCTCTAGTAATGATGTGCAGGATTCAAACATCAACAACAGTTCTTCCCCGTGACTGCTGTAGGCAAACATTACTGGATAGTATTTCCAAGTTAGTAAGATTTAAGATTCCAAAAATGTTTTTTTTAGATTCAGGAAAAACACGTTCTAGGGAGAAGTGAAGAAGGGAGGGAAAATACTGGGAGAAACAACTCTTCCCTCTCTTTTCCTGTCAGGTCAGTCACAAACAAAGCACTAAACTGCACCAGTAGATGGGAGTTATTTTATTACACCAGAAGGAACCTGCAAGGGTCTATGGTCTATTTGATCTCATCTTAAATTACTAAAAATGAGACCTGTGACTCATGTCCTAGTGTACTGGGACCTCCTGGAATCAAAGCATACAACTCTGGACCAGAGTGATTTACCCAATGGGACCAGAAGAATGGTAGCTAGTAGCTCTAGGAGAGTTCCTTGTGTATAGTCCCCTCAAGAATGGGGAGGTTATAAGGAGTAGGCAAGGCCTCTCAACTCCATTGATCGCACACATTGTTCTGCTGCTACCCAGAGGGAGGTCCAGCTTTCAGCTATATTAATATTTGAATAGATTTCCACTCAGAACTCTGATGGGTCACCAGGGGACAGTACCACAGAGAGTGGTCAATCCCAAACTCTACTGCTCCCTACACTTCTCTTCACTGTGTTACAGAAAAATCCCACAAAACACCTTCTACAAGAAAATCCAATGGAGCATTCCTTGTACAGTGAAAATCAGGGGAAGACACAGCAGGGGAGAAAGCTCACCCCTCCCCCCCCCCACACACACTTCTGCAGATGCTGTGCTGAGGGGTCATTCAGCAGACATCCTCTGTGGCAGGGGGGGGTCTCAGTTTTATTGATACTGCACTGACTCAGCTCCCACCAGAGCCCTGGGCCAACATGCTCTGGGCCCTGCATAAGGCCAGAGATAGATTCCTTAATGGCAGTTTTCTCTTTGGTTGCTCTAAAAGTGCTATTAAAATTCTGGCGGGAATAGGCTCAGGTCATTATAATGTGCTTAGGAAGAGCCATTTAAAATGGCAACATCAGGTCAAATTCAGCCCAGAACCTCAGGTTCATCTTTTATGAAACTCAAAGGGCCAACAGACACTGGGCCCCAAATTTTCTTCTTCTTTAAAACATCAATGGGAACTTATTTTGAAAAGTCCCCCTGCAGTGTTTGTAAACAAAGTTTACAAGTGCAAGAATCTGAAAGTAAAAATCAATTATTCTGCTCTCATTAGCCAACCCATGGGAAATACCAACAGAATGTAAATGTATATTTCACTCTGTACTGTTTCTTAAAACTGAAAGTGTTAGTAAACAATCATACTAATGTAAATAAGGAAATACTTTTAAAAATATTTTGAATGAGAGAGAGTGTCTTTAAATCTAATCACACTATTCCAGTCTCAGTTATAAGGACAATCCAACTTTGGTATATGTATTTATATTGGACATTTAAAACTGAAATTATGTGCACCCTAAATTCTACTGAAATGTTGATCTAGCTAAACAGTCTCTTTCTACCGCCTAACTCTTGTATCCAAAATGGTCCCTTAAAGTAAAACTTCACAAAATAAATTTAGAAAAACAAAACAAGTGTAGTGTATACTAATCTCTCTTCCACTTTCAATGAAAACCTAATCAAGAAATAAAGTATGCTTGCTGTCAGTGACGACAGAGTTGCCCATTTGGTGTATAAAGCTGGTATTGTACCAACTTATTTGAATAGGATACAGTGATGTTCTCTTCAAGACTTGAGTTTTAAATTTAAACAAGCACAAGAGCAATGTGTCAATATGGTCTTATAGCAAGAGACTGTGTCAAGGTCATTAAACTATAGCCAAAAAATGCTGTTTAACAATATGCCTAGTGGATAGTCAGGAGACAGAGTCAGAACTCCCGATATCTATTCCGCCAATTTCTGTCTGTGCCACTCAGTGTGTAGAAAAGTGTGTTACCTAACCCTCTGGTGCCTCTGTTTTCTGGGTATACCACCCTCCATCCTTAGGTTTAATTGTTTTTAACATGCTTTGAGATCTTTGGATCATGCTATAATAATATTGTACTGAGGTCACCCTAAAATAAAATCAGTTTTTGTCACTGCATCATTATCATGGCTATTCAAACTGCCCCTTCATTAGAAGAAGGATATATAACCTATGGTATTCAATGAGTTAATACTAAGCCATGTATTTATGCAGGGACCTGATCATCACTGGGCTTAATAAGGATCATATTATACCACATCTCTCTCTGGGAGTTCTGACTTATTCATTTGCGTAGCAAAGAGTAATCGCATAGAGTCCCAACTATAAAAAGGCATATGTATATTGGATACTCCTTTGCTAGAGGTCATAATGAGCGGGGCTGCTGAAGTAATTGGTTTCAGAATAGCTGCATTACTGGAAGAGGGCTGTTACACTGGTCTACAACTTTTGAGAAATCGTCTGCTTCAGAGATAAAATGTGCTATTTATTATGTATTTTGATGTGCTGAATTCAAATATGACAATTAAAACAACTAATTGGCTACTGTTTCTAAGATATTTAAGTTTTTACATTTTATGTCTATGTATATTGTGTAGATAGTAGAGTTTTAATCATAAATTGTAAACCTAGGTCTTTTCATGTGTTTATGGTTGCTTTACATGATAATATTTAATGATAAGATTTACATGATAAGATTCCACTGCTGTAGTCTGGAGCCCAACAGCTCTGCCTTACTCTTGGGTAGTTCCAAATCCCTGACAAGGTCATTCAGTTCACCTTGTGTTCTGAGGTGTGGTTCAGAGGAGGAGGATGGGAGAAAATGTGGGTCCTGTGACATTGATGGTTCAGGACCAGAAGTTTCATCCTCTTCCTCTTCCTCGTCTGACTCAAGTGAGAATGATTCTGGTGCATCAGGAACCGGCAGTCCTTCTCCGTGGGGTAAAGGGTGTATAGCTGATGGAATGTTTGGATAATGCACAGTCCACTTTTTCTTCTTTGACACACCTTTCCCAACTGGAGGCACTATGCAGAAGTAACAATTGCTGGTATGATCTGTTGGCTCTTTCCAAATCATTGGCACTGCAAAAGGCACAGATTTCCTGTTCAACCACTGGCGAAGATTTGTTGCACAAGTGTTGCAGCATATGTGTGGGGCCCACCTCTTGTCCTGATCTCCAATTTTGCAGCCAAAATAAAGGTGGATAGGCTTTCTTAACCACAGTGGTTATACTGTGCTTTTGTGATGCAAAAGTCACTTCACCACAAACATAGCAGAAGTTATCTGCACTGTTCACACAAGTACGAGGCATCTCTGCTCACTTTGGCTAAACAGAAATGTGTCCCTTTGCAAAATCAGACACTGTATGATATCTAGAGCTGATATAGGGCAATTTGTTCAGCAGAGTGATGTAAGCTTCGTTATGATTGCATCATCCATGACTTCTAGGAATAACATGATGCAATTCATATCATGTATGCCACAATACCAGCTTCAGATTGCATCATTCATTGTTTTGCCTAAAAAGCAAGTACTGTCCAAACCCAGTCATAGATTTATTCATAGATCCAGTCAAAGATGTATTTTAGTCATTTCTGGTTTAAATTGAGATCCCTTCCCTTTAGAACTCACTTATCCACCGCCATTCCCAAGTCAAGGGTCGTATCTACTGACCCAATAGCATATCTTGAAAACTAGAGCCAATCAACAATTTTAAGCATCATTTTCGTTCTCAGTGACCCAGAATTAGTAAAGTTTGACTACATTTATTTCAGAAGCATTTTGGCTGTAGAGCAGTGTTATTGGTATCAAAGTTATTAGCAAAAGCTTCCATAAAGTAATCCACTGCCACGCCAGTATTTTGTTTTGGTTCTAAAACTCTTGCCTCAGAAGAGTTAGAATCATATGACCAATACACATTCTAGAAGATGG